CGCCGCGCAGGTACCGCCGCGCGCTGCGATTGGCTGCGGCTGCCGGCCCGCCCCGCGCGGATTGGCTGCGGCTGCCCGCCCGCCCAGCGCGGATTGGCTGAGGGCTCCCGGCTGTGCTGGGATTGGCGCTGGGCGGGGGAGAGGGAACGGCCCCGTGATTGGCGAGAGGCCGTGGATCCCTCACTGTGATTGGTGGGAGGGAGTGGATCCCCTCATTGGGATTTGTGGGGCAGTGGATCCTCTCTGCTGTGATTGGTCAGAGGCAGCTCCACCCCACTGGTAATGGGAGAGGCAGAATATGCTGGGATTGGTGGGAAATGGATCTCTTTGGCTGGGGTTACTGGGAGCCATGTCCTCTCTGCTGGGATTGGTGGGAACTTGGGCAGGGCCGTGGCACTAATTACCCCAGCTCTAACGAGAGCCCTCATTTCCCGGCCTGCAGGGTGTCCCCGCAGCCTCCCCACGTCCCCCGCGGTGCCACGGCCGGAGGAGCCGCGTCTGCTGCCCAGCGCCGCCCGCTCCTCCGACTGCCTGCACCGCGCGCCCGGCGGCCGCATCCTGCTGCTGCTCTGCAACACAGCGGGCACGGGGCCGCAGCTCGCCAGGTACCGTCACCTGCCTGCCACCTGCCTGTCGCCTGCCTGTCACCCTGTCCTACCCACTCCCCGCCCGTGTGACACCCAGCCACGTGTCCCTCCTGCCTGTGCCCAGGTTTGGGCCGCCGCTGGTGCTGCGGGAGGAGCGCGGCGTCTCCTGGGAGCAGCTCCAGCAGAACATCCTGGCCCAGCTGAGGGGGGTCCTGCGGGGAGAGGTCCGGCCACAGGTGAGCCCAGTCCTGTCGCCTCCAAGCCATCAAATTTTGGGGGCTGGTTTTGCCCCACGTCCCAAAGCTTGGCTTGGCCAGGTGCTGCTGCTGCGTAGGGGATCCTTGTCCCCTGGTGACCCCACAGCCCCCTCTCCCCTCACAGGGCACGGGAGCCCTTTTCCGGATCCGCCTGGCTGGGAGCTCAGCCCCCTGGACCTACTTGTCCCCTCAGGATCCCCGTCCTCTCTGCCACCCTGCCATTGACAGGTAAGGGGCTGCAGAGGCTGTCCCCAGGATGTCCCCTCAACCCCTGGGGCCAGCCATGTGTCACACATGGCATCACATGTCCCTGTGCATGGCTGTGTTGTCACCATTGGTGGCCAGCGGTGACACCTTGGGTAGCCACAGTGGTGGTCACTCTGCTGCCCCAGTACTGGGTCCCTGGCCCAGCGTTCCCACTGTGGGAGGTGGTGGCTGTCCCTGCCTGGCACCATGGGAGGAGATGTCCCTATGGGGACAGGGGTTCTGGGGACATCTCACCCTGTCCTCCCCTCAGGGCCCTGCAGCTGTGTGGGGCTGGGGGCCCTCCCCACGTGAGGCTGACGGTGGAGTGGGACACGAGCACCAAAGAGCGGTGAGTCACCTGTGCCCGGGCTGGGGGGACACCCCGGCACTCGGGTCACCCTCGCTGGTGGGTGACACATCCCCCCCAGGCTGTTTGGGAGCATCCAGGAGGAGGTGGTGCAGGACGCAGAGAGCGTGTGGCAGCAGCAGCAGGCACACGGGCAGCAGCACAGCTGCACCCTGGACGAGTGCTTCCAGCTCTACACCAAGGAGGAGCAGGTACAGGCACCCCGGGCGGGCCCACGCCCTGCCCACCCCTGGCAGAGGGGCTGCTGGCGCTTGCAGTGCTGGGGGTGGCTCTGCAGGTGGCGGGGCTGACAGGGAGGGAGGTGGCCATGACGTGATGTCCCCAGCTGGCCCCGGACGATGCCTGGCGCTGCCCGCACTGCAAGGTACCCCAGCAGGGCACGGTGAAGCTCAGTCTGTGGACGCTGCCCGACATCCTCATCATCCACCTGAAGCGCTTCCGGCAGGTGGCCGAGCAGCGGCACAAGCTCACCACGCTGGTGAGGTTCCCGCTGCGGGGGCTGGACATGGCCCCGCACGTGGCACAGCGGGGCCAGCCCGGCGGGCAGCTCCTGGGGCGCTGGGCGCCCTGGCAGCCCCCCCTGCGCCTGCCCCCGGGCTGCCCCCGCGACCACCTGTACGACCTGTACGCCGTCTGCAACCACCACGGCAGCATGCAGGGCGGCCACTACACCGGTGAGCAGTGCCGTGGGGGTGCCATGGGGGTGCCGTGGGGCACGGCGGGGCAGAGAGGAGCTGGGGTGCAGGGGACATTCAGGATGGCATTGCAGCCACCCCAGGGCAGGCAGGGCGCCGGGATGTGTCCTCCAGCAGCATCCCATTCTCCCGGTGTGTCCCTACACCATGGGGCTCCTGGTTCCCCCTGCACCCCGGGGCTCTGGGCATCCCGGCACAGAGCCCCCCTCCCCGCTCACCCCGCGGCCCCTCGCCCCCAGCGTTCTGCTGCAATGCCCTGGACGGGCGCTGGTACAGCTACGACGACAGCCGGGTGGAGTGGGTACGCGAGGCCGAGGTGAGCACCCGCAGCGCCTACATCCTGTTCTACCAGCGCCGCCGCGCCGCCGGCTCCGGCACGGGTGAGCCCCAAATCCCTGTCCCCCGCACCCCGGCACTACGTGTGACCCGCACCGTGTGCACACCCTGCCTCTGCCCCCTGCACACAGACCTGCTGCACCATCCCTACGTGTGTGCGCACCCCAGCCCACCCTGTCCCACCCTGTCCCACGGCCCGCTCCCCGCGCTGGGTCCCCCCGGGCGGTGCCCCCGGCCCACGCCCGCCGCTCCCCGCAGGCTCCGCCGCCGCCGCGGGGCACTGGGTGTTCCGCCTGGCCGCCTCCGAGCCCCGCGCCGACCCCCGCACCGACCCCGACCCCTCGGGCTCCATCGCCGCCCCGGAGAACGGTGAGGCTCAGGATGCCCAGCCCGCGGTCCCCGCCGCGCCCCCCGCCCGCCCTGACGGTGGTTTCCCCGCAGGCGGGTTCGAGGCGCGGCCGCCGGTGCGGGGTCTGCAGGGGCTGCACGGTCGCAGCCTCAGCGTCCGGACCGCCCCCGCCGGACCCCCGGGACAGGGGGAGTCGGGACCCCCCCGCGCCCCCCGACGGCTCCGCCGGGCCGCCAGCGCCGAGGGGACCCCGCGCCGGCCGCCCCCGGACCCCGGCAGCCCCGGGACCGCGGGACCTCAGGGGGACGCGGGTGTTCCCCCGGGCCGCTGCCCCCCCGGCCCCTCGGCGCTGGGGCGGTCGCGGAGCTCGGCCAGCCTGCCCCCCCGGCCCGAGGGGGGGCTGCGCAGATCCGCCTCGCTGGGCAGGGGCCCGGCGGGGCCGCCCCTGGCCGCCCGCGGTCCCCCCGGGGCCACCCTGCAGCGGGGCCGGCAGCTCCCCGCGCCCCTGCGGCCCCCGGCCGTGCCCGAGTCCAGCTTCTGAGCCGTGGATGGGGGCACCACCCCCCCAGCAGCTGTACAGCTGGTTCTGAACGGATCGGGGAGCTCCCCAAGGTGGGGTGTCCCACGGCAAGGGTGCCTGAACGAGGGGTCCCAAACCAGGAACATCCCGACCTGGGGGCTCCCAACCCAGGGACTTCTGAGCCGGGGGAAACCAAACCGGGCTATCCTGACCCAGGGCTTGGAATCCTGACATGGGGGCTCCTGCCTGACCCAGGGCACCCCAGATCCTGATCCAGAAGCATTCCAAACCAGGACCATCCCTACCTGGGGGCTTCAGATCTGGGCTCATCCCAAACTGGGCTCATCCCAAAGTGGTGGCCCCCCAGTGCAGGGCCATCCCAAACAGGGCAGGCGGATGCACGGTCCCCAGCTCTGTGGCACCAGAGTATTTATTGTACCAGGAGAGTTTTATTCAGAGACGCTTTTTGTTTTCTAAAAGGCGACTATTTGGGGGTGGGGGGTCCCCCACACCTCGGTCTATGCAATCCCCGATTCCTGCAGCCAGCTTTTGTACGGGGCTCTGCCCCACCGCCGGCGGTTTCTATTAAAGACACGTGAAACAAACCCAGTGTCCATCCCAGGGGAAAAGGGCTCTGAGCCCCTTGGGGGTGGTCCTGCTCCTGCAGGGGGGATCAGCCCGGGATCAGGGTACAGTCCTGGCTGGATCCTGCCGTGTGGGGTGGCTGTTTCTGGGGAAGGTGGACCCTGCCCCATCCCATGGCACCAGACTCACAACGTTCCCTATAAAACACCAAAGCACCATTTTATCACCCAAACGCTCTCCACCTCCCAGTCCTCCCCCCAAGGCGGGGGCAGGAAGGAAAGGCCAGCGCCGCCGGGCAGTTCTCAGCGAGTGGCACACGGATTTATTGGATTTATTGATTGCTTTGGGGTGCTGGTGCCCCCCGGTGCCCACCTGGGGCGGGGGGCACGGTGCGAGCGGGGCGGGGGCGAAGCGCTGCCATTTCCATCCTCCCTCTCGCCCCGGCCGGGCGGGAATGGCTCCACATAAAACAAATCTCTCTATAGTTTCTCTCTCTATGTACAAATATAGAATATATATATATATATCTCTGCCGATATATATATACAGATCTGCTCTCTCTGGAAAGGATAAAAGGTTAATTTGTCTGTGCATGCACGACCAAAGCCACCAACCCCCGGGGACAGCGGGTGCCGAGGGACGTGCGCCTCCCCCACCAGCACCCCGAGAGCCGGGGGGGCACGTCCTGCATCCCCAGGTTATTGCTGGTCAGGTCCCATCCTGCTCCCAAACAAGCGGAGGGGGAAGAAGCCGAAGAAAGGAAATCCCACTGCAAAGCGCCGGCGAGCTCCTTGTCACCTGGCCAGCACCCAGTGGCACCCGCCTCGGGGCACGGAGGACGTGGTGGCATCGCCCCAGGGTCGTGGGTGCTGCGGGGCGGGGGGCAGGCACCCGGTTCGAAGGCAAAGTCTGGATAAGGCGAACAAAAATGAACTAAAGAACAGCGGCCGCCCCCAAACCGGGCGCTTTGCCACCCAAGGTGGCCCGTGGCCCTCGGTGCCGGTGGCCGGTGCTGGCCCCTGGGTGCCGCACGGATGAGCCTGGGGACAGGGACACTGTCATAGGGCTGTGCTCTCCGATTCCTCCTCCTCCTCCTCCTGCCGCGGGGTCAGGCTCGGCCCCGAGAGTCTCTGAGCTGCCTCGGGCGGGTCCCGGCACAGGGCGGCATCCGGGGACACGTGGAGGGAGGGGACCTCAAAACGGAGCAGACCTGCGGGAGGGCACAGTGATGGGGACACCCGCCGGGCTGGCACCGTGCTAGTGCCACCACCAGGGGTGTCACCACCGCCCTCTGCTCTGTGCACCCCACCCGAGTCAAGGCGGTGACGCCAGCTGTCCCCACACACTGCCCGTGTCCCACCGAGCGCAGGTGACACCGCTGTCCCTTCTCCCAGGGGACCCGCAGGGTGAGACTGCACGTGTGAAGTGACAGGGTGACCACAGCCACCGGCAGGCGGTGTCGCCGTGTCCCTTGCTGAGAGCAGAGCAACCCCCTCAGACAGAAGAAGCACCTCTGCCACTCCTGCCAGCTCAGGGACATTGCCCAGGCGACCATTTCCTAAGGACATTTCCCAGGGACATTGCCCAGGGACATTGCTCAGGGACATTGCCCAGGGGACCATTTCCCAGGGACATTGCTCAGAGACATTGCCCAGGGACATTGCTCAGGGACATTGCCCAGGGACGTTGCTCAGGTATATTGCCCAGGGACATTGCCCAGGGACATTGCTCCGGGACATTGCCCAGGGGACCATTTCCTAAGGACATTGCCCAGGGCCATTGCTCAGGGACATTGCCCAGGGATATTTTTTCAGGGGTGTTGCCCAGGGACATTTCTCAGGGATGTTGCTCAGGATGTGGCTCAGGGATCTTGTCCCACAGTGGCACTGGGGAGCTGCGCCTGAGCCAGGGGTGATGCCAGGTGTGATGTCAGGGCTGCATCCACGCCAGGGTGGCACCACACCGGTGCCAGTGCCACCCAAAGGCAGGTGGCAGCCCCTGGGGACACCGTGACCAGCCCCTCGCTGCCACCCGGGCTGTCCCACACCTCACAGGCAGGACAGGCACGCAGGGACAGAGCCCTGAGTCCTGCCAGACCCTGCAGAAGGGACACTGGGACATCCCCCAGCCTCTGTGTCCTCCGTGGTCCCCAATGCCACCTGCACTTCCCAAGCATCGCCCTGGCTGTCCCCCTGCAGCAGGGACCCCGGGGGACACGGCACCAACAGAGCCCAGGGCCAGGGCGGGCGGAGCAGCAGGGACAGCAGCACAGCTCCCGGGGATGGCACATTCCTGGTGACACTGCCACCTCGCAGGGGACATAGCCAGCTTCCCGATGCACTGTCACCTCCCTGGGCTCATCACCACCGTCCTGGGGACAGCTCCTCTTTTCCAGGGACATCACCACCTTCCTGAGTACATGGCTATTGTCACCTTCCTGAGGACATCACCAACCTCCTGGGGACATTCTGCCTTTCCAGGGACATCGTCACCCTGTTGGGGACATCACCAATTTCCTGGGGACATTCTGCCTTTCCAGGGACATCGTCACCCTCCTGGGGACACCACCACCTTCCAGGGCACAGTTTTGCCTTCCAAGGGACAGTTCCACCTGTGCGGGGAGGGTGCCACCTCCCTGGGGACCTCCCAGGGCACACTCCTGCCTCCTCAGGGCCATTGTCCCCGTCCTGGGGGACCCCGCCACCCCCCCGGGGA